AAGAAGGGAATATTAATAGTATAAGCAGGTGTTCCCCTTGTCACTATATTGCTAGTGTCTGTAACGTTGAAAACTGTCTCTGAAAGAAGAGAATGTTTATTAAAAATGATATTGATACATTACAACGAACCAAATATTCTACTGGGTTACGCAGCAAGCTTGGAAGGTGTGGTATACTTGGTGAAGCAATTTAAAAGTATGAGGAATCGTGACTGCTATTATACCAGGATTATGCCATGTTTTACTCTATTCTACATTTGAAACTGAACCAAGTGATAATATGTAAGAATGGCACATAAAGCCATGGGTAAAGACTAACCCTTATATACAAATTATAAAAGTGACAAAATAAAAACTAAGGAACCCCTTTGGCCGCTCAATAGTTGTAATTTGTCACACTATAGGCTTTCACTTACAGAGGTGTTCAACTTTACAGGTTTTACTGTACCTGTTTAAGTGTGTTTAAATACAATACATGCATTTATGTTCCTTTTTGAACCCTCTCATTTTAAATCAAAGAGTTTCAGAAGAAATTCCTTACCTGGTGAAACTACTGTTGGACACCTCCACTGTGGTAGTGAGAGAATTGCCAGCGAGGGTACCATCAAGGCAAAGGTACCTGCTTGTACTACAGGCAGCCTAAAACGCAATAAATCTTCATTTGACAATGTACTTTTATACTGCGTTTGGTGGTAATAGTTTAACTTTGATGCTGTTTCGTATTATTAGAAAATGGGTGTTCAACAAGGGTCATTGTCATAACCTACTTTATATCAGAAAAGGATGGGTATCGGCATGGTGAACCTTTTTAACACACGTTTCTCTTAAACCAGTTATCAAAAAAATTCTGAAAATTATACACATTGTCAATTTAATGGTCATATTTTGAATGGTAACAATATAATTTGAAATAGATATATATATTTTTTCTCTATATTCTTTTAGAAAACCCATCGGACACTTCTATTATTGTTGGTATTATATGTTCGGAATGAAATGACATATGTTTCTAAATATTGTTATTTTACAAAGGTAAGTTTGGTTGATTTAAAAGAAGTATCTTGTTCATGAAATAAAAGGTTTATCATAGTTTATAATTTTTTGAATATATACTTTTTGTTATAACAACCAACATTTCTTTTGTACAACTATAATATTGGAAAGTCTAAGAAAATGTTGTATATGTTATTTTGTTCAAACAGCTTCGGGAAGACATCTTATTTCATTCTCAAGAAATTGTGAAAAGGAACAAAAAATAATTGCACAAAAAAAACTGTTAACAAAAACAGTTATATAAAAAATATGTGAATCATTTCCGCATTAAATTGTCGTCAGTCAGTCAAAATTACATAGGATCGTCTTTTTAACATAATGTTTTCTATAATTGGTTTAAGAGAAAAATATTGTTGAATTTAGTTCTCCATATCGATACCAATCCTTTGCCAAATAAAAATGAAATGTATTATTACCGTACACCCAATGATACTTGTACAAGAGTTATGATTCCAGAAACAAACACAATTGTACTGATAAGTTCAGCTTTTACATTATTGTCGTCTCCAACACAGAGGGCGGGGGCCAGTGTGAATGGTATGGTCAGTGTGGCGGTGAACATTACTAGGAAATGCTACAATAAGAGAGCATATTAAAATTATAATTTCAATGCAGAATGTCCAAAATGCTACTCCGGTAGCGTTATATTTATAAACTAAAGAGAAAAATAATTAATCTAAACACATTCTTTAAATTTTTGACAGAGTCTTATTTTGATAACATACCGTACAGAGTGAACAAGATGATAAATGAAAATGTAATAGTGCTCATGAACATTCTACTTGGCAAGGGTCATTTTAAGCTTATCACAAGGTTACCTAATCGCTGTATGTAATACAATACTTACCTGTAAACCGAACACAAAGCACTGTAGCCATGGTGGATTGTCCTTTACTTTAAACAATATAGTTGATTCAGTATCATCTTTCTCCTTTGATTCCTCCACCTCTACAATCTCCACATGGCGTTCTTCCTGCTAACATACATTACAATGAATTTGATGTATGCCCGTAGACAGCTTTTGCTAGGGGTGGTGGGGGAAGGGCTCTAACTCCCAAATATTTGAGCGCAACTTTTCAAAAATATGACCAAATTTTAGTTAATTAACGCCCAGTTGGCAGTTTGTTATATGAATTGGGGAGGAGCAGATTCTCCTCCGAGAAGCGAAAAGTGTAGCTCCCACATATTTAGGAGATATCGAGGAGAGGGGGCTTGTATGATAAGACGATTTATTTAGTTATAAGTGATATAAATTTTTTCTATATATATGCATTGCCATGAAGAAACATGGTGAATTATGATGCTGGGTCACTTTTGTTCCCATTCATAGACCGACTCCCGGACGAGAAGGGGTCAACCCAGCGTTTATAGCTTTCCTTTAGTTGCAAATACTTCCGAAAGCAAAGAAACACAGAATTTAAGTTGACGCTTCATGCTTATAAAGAGAGTAAAATTAGAAAGTAAAATTAGCTGTGGTGTCAAAATATTTACAAATGAAAAAAACATAGTAATATTCATATTAGTTTACTTATCGTCACTAAAAACTATCAAATTACCCTATCCCTAATGACATTTATCTTGTTCTTCCAATTTTGCACCGTTTTTGAACCACTCAAAAATGTTATCATCCAGTTTTGAAGCCCATTTATATTTCAGCTCATAATGTAACTTGGGGTGATATTAAACATGGAGCAGGGTGATCCGCTCCAAATCGATTTGGCAAAAGTAATATCATTCAACTTTTTTCACTAAATTGTTTCGTATTCGCAAAGGTGTATCCATTTTGTCAATGAATCTTTTTCATGTTAGGTTACATCATTTATTTAAAATTCACTTCTAGATCTTATTATTTGCTGTCCTTTGAGGATGCGCCTATAGAGTCTCTATAGCAGAAAGTGATTAATAAAAAATGTTTGCACTTGTGTAGTCAGTTGTTAGACCACTTAACTATCATTAGTTTCTAATAAATAACGGCAAACGCAGCCTACCTTAAGCTCGAAGTTATTTTCCTCCTCCATGTTGCTTCAAACTTCAAGTGTCTGGCCAGATTAAGGTTTAATATTCTCCCTGTGTTTCACTGTCTATTACTGTTCATATAATGACATAACTTCAACTTGTTTACTATATTTACATTTGTCAATTATCAAACCAAACACGTGGTTACTTAACTCTGGGAATGAATTAAATGTCTCGTGAGAGTCTTGTTATGCGTGTATATGTCCGTCCTTGAATTATACCAAGAACTAGTGATTCCGGTTTTGTCTTTATATCTCAGGAAGCAGAACTCGTGGACCTTGTATGATAACTTTATTATGACAGTCACTATATTCGATAAGAAATAATTTGATCAAAGTGGACAGAAGAGAGGTCACAGACGGATAGATGGCGTGGTTTGTCGTATAGATCTATTAAGTTTCGTTGTTGAATTATAACAGAGGCAGCATATAAAAATGTGCCAAAATGACTTGAAAAGAGGCTACACAGGCCCAAATTTCTTTTTCGTTGCCTTGCAATACATTTTGTAGAGCTACCACTACTTTATTTCAACCCACTGGGATCATGTTTCAAGTGGTGAATTAATTCAATCTGCTCTGTTTTAAATTTCAGGTTTATTTTAAGTGATTTGAAATAATGCCACAATTAAATCACTTACCTTTTCAATGTTATGATATGTAGTGAGTTTTATTCAAGTGAAACAACGACTATATATTCATGTTTATCTATATTTATTGAAGATTATAAAGTATATTGAAATATAAGAAAATAGTACCAGACCACTGATATTGGAATAATATATCAATACAATTCTTGGAGGTCACGTAATTGTAAAGTCAACTATTCTATGACACATTTTTGATGGCTATACTGTTGAAACATCAACAGATAGCGCCAATACAATAAAAGGACTTGAATGTTTTAGTTATAGGTTTATAAGAGAAAAAACATTAACTCTGTAAAATTAGATTAATGTAAATTATTTGAAGCATTTACCTGTTTACACCTTCTCTCTATATACTTTATGAAAATTATAAAATGTTCAATAATTGTGTTATATAAATATGTATGTCATTCAAATATTATCTTATATATTAGACTTTGTATTATCACGTTCCATTCACGCACGTGTCTGTCTTGTAATTGTGTCGTACTCGTGGTCATCTCATAATAATACCTTATAAGGTCATATTGTTATCTCCTTTCACAAAATATTGTTGTCCCTTACAAATATACTTTTGGCCACATTCATAAAATTGCATTGCGTCATTTAAACTATAACAATATTGTGCAAAGAATCATGACTTAGCTCTATTTCAGCACAAGGGAATCTTTATAACTGAGTGAAAGCAACGGCAAAAGGTAATCCACATATCTTTGGAATTTTATTTTGAAATAATGACAATCTTTGCCTGACAAGATTATCTTAAGTTCCCTGAGGTAGAATTAAAAGTACACACTTAAAGATATATTGCAGGTTAGGGCAGGCTATTTGCCTTGTAGTGCCCTTACACCTGAATATATACAATAGTACAATACGATGTCATCAATACAATATGATGTCACCAATACAATACAATGTCACTAATTCAATACATTGTCACTAATACAATACAAGGTCACAAATACAATATGGGGTCACTAATACAATACAAGTCACTAATGTAACGAAAACATTTGAAAATGCCTGTATAAAAAATGTTTAAAGTCTCCATTGAAGAAAGTTATTAACCCTCAAATGGTTTTTGGGGTCCGTTTGGACGCCAGAGCACATTCTTTGCAATAATTACATCAGAAATAATTATTAAATCTACATGAAATTCGATCTAATCGTCAATTCATGCATTTCCCTTCAGACAAAACAAATCAGATGTAAATCTCATGATGATTTTTTGTTCGACTTGATGTCAAGGAACATCACTATCACAAAATGTATATTCAAATAATATAGTGTTATATATAAATACAAAATGCTAAAAAAATCTGTCCCCGTGTTATTAGGTTTATTCATATTTTCTTGCATCTGATATAAATAGTGCATATATATATTATGAATGAAAGGTTATTGAATGACCTATTCGGAACTGAAATTAGAATGAAAAAAGCTTCTCTGATTGCAGGTTTAATGCAAAATATGTGCTGGGGTCCAAACCCTTTAAAGGGTGTAAATACAAAAAACAATTGAGGGTTGAATCTGCATACGTATTGTGTTTTGAAAATTTTCCTCACAAAATTGCTCAACCTTAGATCATCTTATCTAAAGTATCAGGATAATGGAAACGTTTAAAACAGAAAACATTACTTCTAAATGCATTTTTATGCTCACATAATGATTCATCTTGTTCAGTTGATGCAATGGTCCCCCTTTACAATGGAAAGTATGCAGCCTCCTCTTATTGTGTTGACACAAACACAATAAGATGACATAATAAAAATTCCTCTTTCAGATCATGTATACTCATTTGAGTTGAACAAATGTCACATCATTTTGTTTTGTATCATTTGAGATTGCAATTCCATTTTGAAGCTTCTCAGTCAGTTCTTCAAATTCCTGAATGCTTGATGTGGACTGAGTCTCCGAATCACTAATGAGTGACAAGGTTCTCCGAAAGACTGGGCAAAAAGGTAGGTAATAACAAAGTCGTTTTTTGGCTAACCAGTTAGAAATGAATGGTATGTCATAGATTTCAGCTGTTTCTTTTGATTGTGGAGATGTTGAGGATAGTTTAGATGTCCACATCTCAATACCTCTTTCTTTATCAGAACCTGGAATACCCAAACAGAATATGTAAATAAGGTTTATTTTTCTGGAAGTCTTGCTTCGAGCCCTTGTAATTCTCTTCACACTGCACTGGATGAGGCGATGGTTCCAAGATGACTTCATACAAGACTGCATGGATACAGCTTTATATCGTCTGAATATATTGTGTATCGTATGAATCTTATGAATATGATGAAGTACTTATTCATGCTTAATTTCATGTGCATGCTCCTGACTAGACTTTTTAGTTCCTAATAACGTTAATTCATTCTTGAGCAGATTTTTTCTAAGTAATTCCACCCACATTATTTACCTGTTGGAAAATGTTGGTTATATTGGGTGGAACTTCCTAGAAAAAACTTGCGCTCTGATTGAGAATCTGTTAACGTAAGTAGAACGTGTAAAGTCTTGCCAAGAGTATGCACATAAAATTAAGCATTAAAATCCTTCATTATATCCTACATCACTATAATTGCTTTGAACACCTAAAGTCTGCACCCATATATTGTGTCACTGTAAGTTGTCGATAGTTAGGCGTGTTTATTGGAAAAATAAAGTATGCCTTTTTGATATGTCTATTTAATATAAGAAATACAGTAGGCCCTACCTGGTAATGTGTTATCTAAGATGAACCCCACTAGTCCAGCTAAGAAGTTATTGGTGCTCAGAAGTACGTAGAACACATTGTCTACAGTCTGAACTCCTGAAACAATGAAAGAATCACTTGTCAAAGAAGTTTTATGCCGTAATATATAGTATTTCAGATGTTATCAATTTCTCTATAGTTGAGAGGGATAAAGAGAGTGCGTATTTGTCCATATGTCCATCGATCTACATGTTCAATATGTGTTTTTATATCTGAGGATATTTTCGAATATATAATAGAATTAATATAATACCTGTATTTATTGATGAAGGGTGTGCTTTGACCCACTGTGGGACTGTAAGACCAATGAAGAAAGCCAATCCTATAACACAAAGGTTCCTAGAAGAGTTCAGATTGACGTACTGGAGACTTGAGACTCCTACAGCAGTTATCATTCCTGAAACAAAGGGTTTTTAAAGTCTAAAAGTAATGATGCAATGGAAGTAATTTGCACAGTAGGATCAAAAATATATTTAGTACAACACACAAAAAACTATTTGAAACTGAATTAAATGCAGAAATATGGATGGACTAGGGTATTACCAAAGAGTACGAGGAAGATTCCACCAATAACAGGGTCAGGTATGGCGACAAATAATGCCCCAAACTTTCCTAGCAAACCAAGTACCAACATATACCCAGCAGCATAGTAGATCACACGTCGACTTCCACACTACAACACAACAATTAAAGGTTTATACACGACAGAATTATATCCCTTGAACTAAGATTTGCTCCGCTTATTATTAAATGCTAGCCACCATTTAATGCAAACAATACTCAATTTAATCTCAAAAGCTCTACCCCTAAAATCTTTTTGAGCTAATACAAGAAAAACAGATGCAGACTGTAACTACCTACGTTACCCCTAGCTATTGTTCTTTTTGAGCTCGTACAACAAAAGCAGATGCAGCTAGTATTTTACCTTTGTTACCCCTATTGCTCTTTTCGAGCCAATACAACATTAACAGATGTAGCTTGCAGTTGGGACTTACCTTTGTTACCCCTATTGCACCTATATTGACTGTAGTTGATGTTGTCCCATTGCCAGTGCCAAATGCCCCTGCTATCAAACACCCTAGCCCCTCAATTCCTATACCTGGATAAATAGAAAAATCAACATGAATTTTCTGAGATATAGTAATGTCCGTCATATGGAATACATAAAAGTGACACATGTAAGATGAACCCTTTTCAGTCCTGTGGCCCAACGTCATTTTAATCAAACCTCTCGTGTTTACTTATTTGACTATTGAAAGGGGATCCATTATATCAGTAAGACGACACACTAATTAAAGAGATTTCACAACTTACTTATAGCATGTTTATTATTTCCGTATAATGTATAACTTATGAAGCGGCATTAATAACGTCATTACGGAGAAATTGCGATATTAGTAAGGGAAGGAGGTGTTAAACATTATTTCTTGTTTCATTAAACCATATTCTGGAACATTCGAGGTTCATTTTCCTTTTGATTGGTTTTACTGTTCCGTTTTCTATTTCTTTAACACTGTTGGACTTTCCCATTTGGCAATTGTGCCTCCATAATTCAAGTTACATTACAACATCATACTAATCATTAAGATTATAAGACATACCTCTGTTGACGGCATGTGAGGGAGGTGGGGGTGCCCCAGACATTCTAGCACATGCGTAGTAGTCACCCACAGACTCCACAGCTGAGGCTAGCAAACCTGCTATGATACCAATCACACTGGAGATACTCACTGTAGGTCGGCCCCACTGTCCTATGTGAGATATCAGAAATGAGACAATATGTAAACTGGACAGAGTATATTACACAAAGGATGTTCTATGTCACTTTGCTTAAACTTTTCTAAATGAAACTCAATGTGCATTAATTACATCAAACCACTCATATGTGTTACCTGGATACGGAAATCTGATCCAGTCTGCATTTTCAAGAACGGCAAGTTTTGTGTCAGTCCTTGCCTCGAACCCCCAGTGACCAGATGTCTTAGGGAGCACATTGGTTACAGTGAGAATGCCACATAGTAACCAAGTTATCACCATAGCGAGGAGCACCTATGTCATAAACAAGATTCAGGCATAACTTGGGTTCAGCCCGAGTGTAGCTATAACTGTGCAAATCAAAGATATCACCATAAAAAGAGTACCTTTGTCATGATAAAAGATAAGACTAAGAGAGGACCAATTACCAAAATAATAATACTAACATAAGTTACGCTTGAGAAATTGCATTTGGTCAATCTTTTAATTAATGTGATGCATTATCGTCATTTTGAAATCAAGTCTGTAAAACATGCACAGTGTACAATGACATAGCATATGCATAACATGACTGATGTTTTTAGTATACTGTCTCTTTGGCTTACGTTTCATCAGTTCGATTGATGGAAAACAGTTGTTTAATTAAAAATTAGTACCTTTGAAACAAACTTGATATACAAAATATAAAAATTAATCAGGGATTTTACACGGAAATAATCTAAATTAATTATGATATATATTTATCAAAAAATCGATTTCACCATTCTAGCTTAATAACCCTTACTGGGTTAAGTTTGAGATCCATGCATTAACTTACTGGAAATGCCTGAAAGACTGGGTACCACGCTACGTAACATCCTTTCTTCCTCTTGAATGAAGGGCAGGGGAACATGATGTTCTTCATGTATTGAGCAAATATTACAATCAGCACAGCTGTCCTACAAACAACCATAAACAAAACAACCACTTCACATACATACTCTGTTTTGGATTAATTGAGATCCATATGATGAGAATTTTCATCCTAACAATGACCAATAATACATAAAATTCGTTTTTTTTATTATATTTGGTTAAAAACATGAGATTTTCCTAAAAGAGTGGAATATAAGGTTTAATATATTTCTCAATTGTATCTACTCGTATAACCAGAGTTTGAACTCTTGTAATTGCGAGTTTACTTTAAACAGTCACAGAATCACTGGTGCACTCACACGTTTTGAACCCATATTCTGATTGATTGAGTGAGTGAGTGAGCATACTACAGTAATGCTATCCACCACGTGTTAAAATATTCTGTGTGAATCTACTTACAATATTACTATTAACCACGTTTTAATACATATTCTGTGTGAATCTACTTACAGTAATGCTATCCACCACTGTTTAGAGGCAAGGCTTGATGCAGCGTTGAAAAGTGACAACCCAAGAACAGTGACAGTTGGTGCAATAACAAGCGGCCCAAAGAAACGCAGCAGTAACCCAACTAACCCTGTGAATCCTAGTAGGATCTCAAAAATCGAAGCCACCATGATAGCCCCTTGAATCTGAAATTAATAAACACAGGGGATTGAACCTGGGTAATGTAATACAAGTATTTAAGAAACAGTGTTTTTCGTCTTTTTCATTAATTGAATTGAATTGATTACAGTATTGAAAGTTCCACCTTAACCAAAACAAATTTTAAAACAACCAAAAGGATGAATAAGCTTAAATTTCAGTGCAATGATTGAGTATGTGTTAGATGACTAAACTAAAATGAATTTATCTCATTAATCCTTTTTTAAAAAAGGTTTTAATCTTAAGGGATAAACGTAGCTTACTGTGTACCATGGTTTTGTGGTACTGATATTTGAAATGGTAAAAATTAGCTATCTACTACCCATTTCATGTTAATCTATTTCTATTTCACTGAACTATGGGTTACTATACTGACCTCTCTTAGTCGAGACTGCCACATCTCAGTATAAGCGGGTGTTCCCCTTGTCACTACATCGCTAGTGTCTGTAAGGTTTGCAGCTGTCTCTGAAAGAAGAGAATGCTAATCAGTATACACGGGTGTTCCCATTGTCACTACATTGCTAGTGTCTGTAAAGTTGAAAGCTGTCTCTGAAGGAAGGAAATGTTAATCAGTATACACAGGTGTTCCCCCTGTCACTACATTGCTAGTGTCTGTAAGGTTGGCAGCTGTCTCTGAATGTTGAAAATCCATAATAGTGATACATTATAATTGGAGGCTATTTCTTTTGTCTGTATTCTTGATATTAAAATGACGGTTTTGAAAAGAAGTTGAACACTACACTCCAATTTTTTTGCCTGAAATTATGTATGCAGATAAATATTAAATATTCTATTAGCCTTACCATTTTGCTGACTAAACCTATTTTGCCTGGATTTCGGGATATTGCTATAACTTGACACAAATCATTTACAAGTTGCCAAGAATCTGATCTTACATTTGACACTCAATGACCTTTCGAAGGGTCAAAACGATGAGTTTTCAAATTGAGTTTTCTGATTAAAGTCGAAGTCAAATTTGATCACAAAAGACTGACTGAGGTCTGAAAAAGTAAATATTTTAGGTAAAATATCATCTTTATCAAACTAGGTCACAACCAGGTTTTACATACATGTATATAAGCAATTGATGATCTATTAAAATGTTGTTCCAATTTTGAGATACTGTACATCATGTATCAAGGCTCAAAACGTAAAAGGTCAAATATATAATTAGAAGTTTCTATTATATTAGTATATCACACCCTGTCAATGTCTGAATTTTTATTGTGTCCCTTAATTCGGATTTACAACACATTTAATAAGTATATACCATTTTATGTATGCCATGCAGTTGAATGAATATGCATCCAGTTCGAAATGACATGTTAAATTTCAAACAAACATCACTAAATAATATAAACGGAAAGTAGTTAAAACTGAGCAGAACTCGTCAATATTGACATCTTGAGCAGTGTTGAAAGGTGAACCAAGATAGGTAACCTTCTCGCAAAAAAACAATACATGACAAATTTTAAAAAAAATTATTTCAAATTGCATACGTGCCAAATGTAACGTGACTATCACATTGATAATAATTCAAACACATATAATAGTACATAAATATAATATATCTAATAATGTAATCGACGTGTAGAATAAAATTTGCAAAATGCATATTAAAATCGTTCTTATCACAGTCAATTTTTATACTAATGTTAATTTTATACCAGGAAAGAAGAGGGTAATTCTACTAAAATCCAAATGTGCATGTTATCAGTGTCTGCAATCCGTAGTCTTCAATAGCAGTATGTTCAATTTTACTCGTCTATTTATTAATGCCCCTTCTAAAGAAATAATGAGTTGATATTTGGACACTATTCCCTACCTGGGGAAACTACTGTTGGACACCTCCACTGTGGTAGTGAGAGAATTGCCAGGGAGGGTACCATCAAGGCAAAGGTACCTGCTTGCACTACAGGCAGCCTAAAACACAACAAATCCAAATTTGAAAATGCATCATTATATATCGTGTTCAGAGGTAAATTGAATGTATATACTGATGGAATGTTAACCAATCATCCTCGAATTGTCATTCAATTTTCAGCTTTTAAATGTGTCAAAGCTCTCAGGCTCTAAATCTACATCATCCTTTTAATATTTTGATTTCTTGTGGATTCCCAAATCAGCTTGATTATTTTTCGAGAAATGCTGTACGTGAAGTGCTATTTAAATTAGTTGATGTGCTGTCGATGAAAGTGAAAGAGTTCATACAATTAATGCTGCTTCGTTTAACACAAAAACGGGCATTCAAGAAGGATTATTATAACAACCTGCTTTTTGCTTAATAATAAACAAAATGTAATATAACACAAATACTGAATTCTATCCCGAAGGGCGAGGTGAATACATGCCTAAGAAATATATACAGATATTAAACGATCACAGAATTCAATATTTGTTTTATAATTTTCTCATTAAAGTAATACACAATATTAAAGTTAGAAGTACACAATATTGTTATGATATGACGTTAATAGTTTCAACGTTTTTCCAAACGTTTGCCAATATTCTGTTATAAATCACGATCTCTGTCACACCATCGTAAAAAATAGATTTGTAAAATCGTATTACCTTTTCTTGGGAGGACTTCCTGATACAACTTCACCGTCTGTCATATCAGATGAAAATACTTTTAACTAAATTCCCGGGAATTAAGTGATGTGACGTCATTTTAATTGAATATATATTGGTATTCGTTAAAAATAACGTCACTGCCGGTGAATACACTCTTCACACGTTTTTTAAGCAGGGAGACATGAAATACCTCTATATATTTTAAGTCACATGGTATCTTATTGACCAATGAGAGAACGAATATCCCGGCATGGAAATAATGAAGTGGATTATTACCTTACACCCAATGCTACTTGTGCGAGAGTTATGATTCCGGAAACAAACACAATTGTACTGATAAGTTCGGCTTTTACATTATTGTCATCTCCAACACAGAGGGCAGGGGCCAGTGTGAATGGTATGGTCAGTGTGGCGGTGAACATTACTAGGAAATGCTATAGAAAAAGAGCAGATTAAAATTATTACATTGTTCGTTGTTTCGTCTGTACAATTTCCAATATTTGGAACAACCACTCAGTTAATAATTGTCCCAAAATACTACCGAAATAGTATTATATGCATAAGCTTTAAATAAATGAAATTAATCTTAATAAATTCTATTCACTTTAAACGTAGATTCGAATAAATGTTGATAACAATTGGTAAGGGTTAACACATTGCATAGAGTGAATGAGTTGATAATACTAAGTTGTATTCTACTTGGCAAATGTCATTTTAAGCTTATCATGAGGTTATCTAATAATTGCTGAATGTAACACAATACTTACCTGTAAGCCAAACACGAGGCACTGGAACCATGGTGGATTGTCCTTTACTTTAAACAATATGGCTGTTTCGCCACCGTCATTCTCTTTTGATTCCTCACCCTCTATGTCATTCAAACAGGTTTCTTCAGGCTAACAAACATTGACAAATATATTAATAATGAAATGTTCTATGGTGGGTTTGCTTAGGGAGGGGGGGGGGGTTAATGGGTCGTGGTCTTCAGTGTTTCTTCTTAGGATACACCTTGGTTTTACCTGTCTATATTTGATTTTGTCACTTCAAGTAAGTTTTTCTCTAGACACTGGAAGCAAAGTGGGGAAAGTTCATATGAATTATTGTGAAAGACATGTTTTTATAATCAAAGACGATACTGATAAATAATCTGGAACCAACCCAAAGTTCATAGCTGTTGTTTAGTCGAAAATACTTCCGGGAATTAAAATAAAAGGCGGATAAATATCGGAGATTGTGTTATAACACGTTGGTAGTCAATTTTTTCATCAAGCTTGTTCTCCCCCCCCCCGTTCTTTCCCTGGCTCATATTCAATAATGTGTTGACCTTTCATTCAAAATTTTCAATTACTTCTAACTATTTAAAACACAATTCACCATATGAAAATATATGCTTACTTGTTTTACAACTATATCCGAAATCAAATGACAGACTGATTAAGTTCATATTCGAAAATATGTCATTTGCTAAGATTTTTTAATGATATTTAAGGGAATACATACATTTGATGTGGTACATGGGGTAATTTGTTTTGGCAATAATTGTTTACATTTTACCCCGCTTTCATCGCTTTTTAACCAAATAAACATTTAGGTTACTACACGCCTAACCATCGCGTAAGCAGGCGTCACCGTACAGCGTCAAAAAACACAGTAGTACAGTTTCCTGTACGGTGACGGAAATTAACAGCGTTGAAGCAAAAACTATAATGGGGTTTTTAAAAAAATTAATTAGATGAAAATAAATACGATTTCGAGTGTAATAAAAACAGCATTCTCTTAGGAATGGTTTTAACTTTCTAATTATGATAAAAGTTTTTCGAGCACTGCTCGGATTTTTTCTGACTGGATCGGCCCACACAATCGACTCGAGAGAAAAATGTTGTTTTTTTCACTTTTCGTTTGGTTATTATTTCCCCTGTCGTCTGAGTATGGATTATTTTTATGAGAATATGTATTTGTTATCTACACATTTTAGAACAGATGAATATTCGGCAAATAATCATTCAGTGTATTTATTTAAAAAAGATCAGATCTGTACGGTGACGCATCTGCTGTACGGTGACGATTCCTTAGATTTCATGAAGTGTAATATATGACCTTAGTATTAACTTAAGATTCCATAAGTTTTTGTGTGGAAATTCAAATGTTGTATCCCATTCAACATTGAAAAGATCAATTCTTATGTCTGATAACAAGGATTAAATACTGAAACACATTCAACTCTAAGCTTACTGTTCGAACAAGAGGTAAAGAAGCGTCAGATCTACATTATCACTGGTAAGTATCAAGCGAAGGTTACAGCCGTCACCTTAGCATTTACGATGGCGGACAGGAAGTATTAATTTCGATATTTTTAGTTTTCATGGAATTAACTATTTGAAAGTTTACGCAATGCTTTGATATCATTTGAAATACAGACCAGGCTTTTCTCATATGACAAACAAAGATAGCCTACATAGCCATCTTTACCCCATGCAAGATATTGCATCTTTCATCCTAAAAGTCACACGTGCAAGATGAGATTTACTTGTGACATCCCTTGTTTTAAAACAATAATAACATAGCAACAAATATACTGAGTTTTTGGTTTCATGACCCCTACCGTATCACACATTTCCAGTAACCTTCCATTAAGCGATGGAAGATATAGTTGAATTGTAGCGCCCATGCACTATATATGAACAAATGATCATACTCCAGAGTTTCCATTTCATATAAGCCTAGTCTCATTTAGTTCATCAAAGCATAACGCCAACTATAAAGAATTCGATGAAAACTAAAAATATTGAGATCGACACTTCCTGTCCGCCATCTTAAATGCAAAAGTGACTGTAGTAACTTTCACTGATCATTTTGACAACATGTATACGAGGGATACTTGATTGGATCAACATTTGAACTTCCACACCAAAACTTATGCGATTTGAAGTAATAAATAATGAATTCTTTATATTACTTCTCACAAATTATAATGAATCGTCAACGTACAGCTGATGCGTCACCGTACAAATTTGATATTTTTTAAATATACATAATGAATGGTTGTTTGTTGAATCTTCGCCCGTTCTAAAATGTGTAGTCGACGAATACATATTCTCATAAAAATAATCCATACTCTCAGACGGCAGGGAAAATAATAACCAAACAAAATGTGAAAAAACAACCTTTTTTCACTCTGGTCGATAATGTGGGCCGAACAGTGCTCGTAAAACATTTATCATAATTACAAAGTTAAAACCATTCCTAAGAGAATGCTGTTTTTATTTCACATGAAATCGTATTAGTTTTCATCAAATTAATTTTTTTAAACCCTTGTCATAGTTTTTGCTTCAAAGCAGTTAATTTGCGTCACCGTACAGAAAACTGTACTCCGATATTTTTTGACGCTGTACGGTGACGCCTACCTACGCGATGGTTAGGCGTACTAAAGGTTAGGCCCTATTATTTATCTAAAATTAAACAAACTTGCTACATTGTACAATCCTATTCTTCGATGCCCTTTTGAGACTGGGCTTTGAAGAACCCAAAGTATAGTGTGGGTCAATTGGATTCTGAGTCAATAAAACCTAGAAGATAAGCAATCAAAAGATTCATATTTTAGAGGCAAGACGTTTGTATAAACGTAAACCTCTGACCTCTTGTAATTTACGGAATTCGAGTCATGTTCATTTATATATTGAAAAGTGTGTCACAGAACGAGGCCACAGACCAAAGCAATCCAACATATCCAAATCCAATCGTTTTGAATTTTAACTTCATTAAGGTATTTTCCATCAAGAAAATACTGAACTTTGGTCATTTGATTGCTAATAGGTTTGACTGACGCATGGAAAAGTGTTTCGAAATGAATAATACAAAACGTTTGCACTAATCAGTTGTTAGACTACTAAACTGCGGGCTAAACTGTCATTAGTACAGTATCTAACAAATGATTGTAAATTCAGCGTATAATTGTAAATTCGACATACCTTCAGCTCTAAGTTAATTTCCTCCTGCATGCTGCCACAAAATTAGCTTTGGTTTTATTTTCTCCCTTTTGTTTACTTTTTATGTCGGTTGTTTGTGTAATGGTATCCTTTTCGTTGTCTGCAATGGATACATTCATTAAACTAAAACAAACAACTGTTAATGTAGGCTATCATCTAGAATGGATTTAATGTCACGTGAATATTGTCTTGTAAAATACATGTTCATCCTTGAATTCTCAATATGATGATTACAGTGTATACTTACCTTGTGCACTTCTTGTTTGCTAACTATATACATGTAACCACGTTTTTTACTCTATTTGAAAGGAAATGGTTTGAGCAAAATGCCAAGTCATTCGTTAGAATTTCTGTAGGTGGTAAACCACGTGTTCCAAGTGATTGGCGCGAGTGCATGTGAAAAACGAAATATCGATTGTTCGTACTTTTCACGGACCAATGTTAATTCATCATTATTTATAATTTACACTTATAATATATATTACTGTTGACACAAGAAGTAATTAAGATATTAGTTAATTTTTTCGATCGCTAATTACGCGATGACAGGCAATGACGACATTTTTAATTTTGATATTAGTCAATGCCAAGGTCGCTAGAATAGTACAATAACGTCATTTCGAAGAACATATATGGAGGTTATTTAATGGGAGGTTTTTGATACAAGGTATATCTGAGGTAAATACAATATATCTACCCGAGGGACCGTAGGGACCGAGGGATATACCCTGTATCAAAAATCGAGTATTTAATAACTGATTTGTCCTATACTTAGTAAATTATAAAGCTGATTAGTAGATCATTAAGTATGCATCGAGTGTTATGGGACCCTCATGTAATAATTACAAATTACAAACTACAATCAAAACATGAATATCTTATCTCAATGTAAAGTTCTTAACATTTATTGTTTTTTTAAAACTCCACAGCTATAAAACGAAATTCCCGGGAATTGTTGAGCAGTTGATGTATACAGGGTGGTCCAAAAAAGTGAACCCTTGCAACCGGCTATATTTCCCTATATAATACTATACATTTTTCTTAGTATTAAAATTTGCAGAAATCATAAGCCCTAACGAAACATCACCGAGGATGGGTAAAATGAACTTCAATATCTGCGATTCTTCAACCCTTCAACAATCGTCCCATGTCGGAGTCTGGGAAACCTAATGTTTTCTGACTTTGTTGGGTTTTGAATCCCACACCATATGATGTAAAATTAGCATCCTACCTCTGTTAGTTGCAAAGTTATTGTGATCAAAAGAAATGTTCAATGTTTCCAAAGACGAGAACATCTTCCAGTGAAATCGTAACATAGCCCTATTTGGTCTTAAAATGTCAATATCTTCATTAATCATGGACCAATTCTAATTAAATTTGGCTCAAAACACTGAATATTAGATTTCCTTTTGATTTTTGTAAGATTTATATGAAGGGCCCCTCTATCCGATTTTGTAGGTAACATACCTCTAAACTATTGAATGGTAAAAACAGCTTCAAAGGCTCAATAAAAGTGTGAAATGTGTTCCTGCTCAAATAGTGTCCCATTTGTAATATGGTATGGTTTAAACTTATAATCTCTCACTGAAAACTTTTTTAAGATCATCTATTGTGTATCAACAATTTCCGTCAATCATATTGGTAAAATTTTGCACAAAATCTAATTTGAGGCATGTTTGTTTAGTCTTGTAATGTCTTCGAAATTCAAGACTGAGAATAAATTATGGTGTCAACAAAAATTTAGACATTTCTCTACAAGATGTGATAATATGAGCAAATTGATGCATTTATTAAGGAAAATATAGCCTGTTGCATGGGTTCACTTTTTTGGACCACCCTGCATATATCTCCCGCTCACCTCAGCGGGAGATATATATAACACCCGCTCACGTCAGATATCGATTATTTTCCCGCATGTTATTTACCTATTACACTGCTATGTATGGAATAAAGTGAAATATTGGACCGAGAGCCGAAGGCCTATATTGCCCGCAGAAATGATATTATTAGTATTATTACCACCGTTAATGACCGGGACTGAAACAGCAAGAAAATCTTACGCACTGAACGATATCAATATTGCCGGTCAAGAATGCAATTAATGACCGGCAATTTTCCCCGGGAAATTATATAATGGGGAAAATTGCCGGTCATTAATTGCATTCTTGACCGGCAATATTGACCACCACTAACGTCACATATTGCTCGGGTCGATATAGTAAAATGATTGCCTTCTAAACTAGAACTGAAACCCCCAAAACTGGCCCGGCAAGGTGGTAATAATATCGGCCATTCTCTGTGCAGTTGCATCGTACAAATTTTGCCGGCATCGTCAAGTAAATAGAGGAGTTTCTAAGTAGCTTTGAAATCTCTCTAATTCTCATTTTTTCATGAGATTTTAAGATATTTGCACTTTTCCTCATTTTTGATATCATATTTGAATTCAAACAGTAACGTCATTTAGATCATTTTCTATGACATTTTAAAACGTGGGTCAAATCTCCATTGGTACGCTGCTAAAATTCATTAAGACCTGGGCTTATTCGTATGACAACCAACATTTCCATGCTTTATCACAATATGTACATTGACAGGGTCATCCAAGAGTATATCATTCGAGTTTCAGACAGATTCAACCAACACTTTTTGATAAATCGTGAAATTAAGTGACTATTGCAAGTTTCAAGCATTGAAGCGAATAGAGGTTTGGCCCAAGAAAATCAAAGACAAACAAGGGTCACATCGATTATGTCGGCGATATTCATCTATTTAGAAACTATACTTTTGCTTGGAGATTGAAAATATCGAGTTGGCCTTGGAAGCCAATCCTCCATGTCCAGAACTGGCACTTCCCTTGGATGGAGGAAGGAACGCAGTGGATGATGTCCGGAGCACTGAGTTCGGTGGCCGAAAATTCTGGTGGATGTTGAATAACGACCAAGATAATTTGCAAAAGGTTTGACCTAGATTTTGACCTTTCACCCATCATATCAGACACATTCCTCAACTTAGAATGTAAGCTGCTTAAAAAGCTTTTTTTAGTTTGCGAGGAGAAAGAAACTGGCAAAAGCAATAGACTCCAGATTTTAAAGTATGGAGTAAAATAATAATAAAATAAAATATTGTTACTAGTGTCTCTTTTGTTAGTCATGATGCTGAACACTTAAACGTTTTTAACAAGTTTTAATAATTTGTTAACTATTTGTAAATAACTTCCTCCACTTGATTCCTTACCAGGGAAAGCAGGAATACGATCGACTGCATTCAGTCCTTATCTAAACTTGCAGCTACATCAAATACTTCTAACTTGTGCTTTTCACCAATTCCTGGATAAGATCTTGCGATCACATCGTCAGTGAAACGTCAATCTCAATCAGCCATTATTGTCAACATTCCACATTTTCATTGACATTCCACAATAAGCCTGTTTTTCTTATTTTTGCCTGGAATATCATATGGAGTTTCTTTATAATGTGTACTTGCGAACAGCTCAACTGACATACTGATGCTTCTTCTAATCTTCTAACAACATTTTCTATGTTCATCGAGTGTTGCTAAAAAACTGCACCAAATTCGTCAACTGGTATTTGAGTTATCGTCCGGACAGACAAACGAACAAAGGAACGGACGAACGGACGGACGAACGAATGGGCAGATGGCTTCCGTATATCCTGACGGACCTCGTTCGGAGGGATAATAAGCGAATGATGGACGACGCAACACAACAAATTTTATTTCAGTACATTTTAATCTGTTAATACTGCATACCGGGCCCAACTTGGGGGGGGGGGTCTCATGATCAGTAGTCCTATTTTTTAAATTAACAAATGAATTCTTTGGGTGAGAACGGAACCATCGTGGAAACCCAAAGGAGTTTCTTTCTGGAGAGATCATGCTCTGAATTAAGGGCTAGAGTCTTTTTGATAAAAAAGTCGGAGGCTTTTACTTTTATGTGTAAAAATTTGGTAATCAAATATATTTGTAAACATGAGAACTGTTAGTCAAATTGGCTGCTCAGGGTAGTAAACTAATACATTAATTTGCATATTTGTTACATTCCCTGGAAGGCCATGCCTTCAAGCATGGATGTAGATCTCTGGATTATTCAATTATTCAAGATGAACTTTAAAATTTGGCCAAGTAAATTATTGCTATAAATGATGACAAATTTAAAGAAATCAAGTGACCATATGGATATCACGGGAAGGTTAGGTATAGTCTGGTCTAATATGATTATAGACTTTTGAAGGCTTTGGAAATTTACAATGAAGATTTCTCAGCTCAATCTACGTAGGCTCAATCGATCTCACAAGACAAAATCGTATGGAATAACTTAGGATAAGCTAGTTATTAAGCTTGTTATTATGGTCTTACTAGTGGTTATTATTGAGTAATGATACAGGTATTCGATATGGTATTGCAGCTTACACTTAAGTAATGGTACACGTATCCTTGGATTTTAGGCCCGAATACCGAGGTTTATTTTTTTAATTATCGTGTATTATTATTTTGTGTTGATATTAGTTAACCATCTAACTATTGACATGATATGATAACCTTGTTATATTAATATAGCGCATAGGCGTAGCCAGGGGGATGCGATGGGTGCGATCGCACCCCCCCCTCCATAACCAATGAAAATAGAACCATTAGATAGAAGAAAAAGTCTTAAAATGCTTTTTATTTGAAGCTTCTAGCTCGATTTTGAACGAAGTTGCACCAATTTTTGTAAAATTCAAAACAAATCTTCAAAAACATTTTTTATGCCACGATCGCACCCCCCTCCACCCCGACTGAAAGCTGAAACGTATAATCAATACGCTACATTTTGTATGTTCAATTTGTATACTAAAAACTGTTATTAATCCACAAATTTAGATGAAGACAAGATAAAAATTCGAATCAAGAATGAAAAGGTGTCTAAGTATATAAATCTTAAGGGTAATGCATATTTGAATTAAACAGAGGCGGGTTAATTTATATTGTGTCATGAATTACGCTTTTATTCAAAATTGCAGCTAAGATGCCTGTTTTATGAAAAATATCACGGAAGATGTATTCTAGATATCAGTAGTATTCTCAGAAATTTATTATCCGAAACGGATAACATCTAGCCACTCAGACAAACAATCGCAGACATAGGCTAAGCTTGTTTATTTAACAGTTAGATTTGTTGACTTACCGATCCGTATTTCAATCTCCGGGAAGACGTTCTTTTCACTTTGTATTTGCGTGCAGTGTAATATAAGTTGATACTTTTGTTCAAAAATGTACTTTTAATGGCTATTTTATGCCTTTTGTTTTCAAATTATGTTTTGTTTTGATGTCAGTGTGAAAAGTCAAGAAACGTCAACCCCGACTTTTAATTAAAAAATGTTGGTTAATCACTTATGGCAAATCACAAGGTTGATGATGTCAACGGACCATGATCGTGGAAGGCTATCAATATCAGGTGTATATCGCATAGAAAATAAATATAGCTAATTTTTCGCACTGATATGATGATGACTATTGGGCGTACATACTCGATCTGTCATGTTACTTACATTTCATTTGCAAGTTGTCCACATATTCATCCGACGTTTTGTTTAATCAAATTTCCCGCCCCTTGAGGTTGCCGACCAATGCATCAGTTAATATTTTCAGAATACACATTTTCCATTTTCATTTCTCTGATAGATAAAGTCTCATTTTGAATCTGTTCGTGTATTAAAGAGTATGCTTTTATAATGCCGTGGTCACATTTGCTCAGATTTTCAGCACCGGCGCCCGGCCGATGAGTATTTTGTTCAAAATTGTATTCAATTCTGAACAAAATACTCAATCGGCCGGGCGCCGTGATGAAAATCGGAGGAAATGTTACCAAGTCATAACTGATGAAAAATCAAATGAGAACATGAACATGGATAATAGGGGCACTATCACGCTGCGTGCAGAGTCTAATTATAAACTACGAGAAGACGAAACTCTCATTTAAGAAGTGAAGTCGAACAAATGCAAAGGGTAGGGTACTATAGAAGGGGATCATATAAAAGCACGATCTATTTCACAACGCCTTTAACTTTTGTTCTTCAACTGTTGCCCTTTGTGCATTTCAAAAATAAAATATCTTAATCTGATTTGTTCCACCTTTCTTTTCGCTCAGTTCTGCAATATTATGTCCATATGTTGTTTAGGATTATGTCATTTGCGAAATAGCTGTAAGACATAAGTAAGAATGAATAAGGGAGTTACCACGATAATGTTGTTCACATGATTTTATACACTTACCTGCATAACAATCGGAGACAGAAGTCTTAATAGTGTCCAATAAAAAATAAGAATCTAACATTTAATGATAACAAAAGGATTAATTGCTTAGTTCTCTTTGTTTTAGTCTTTGTTTTCTTAAATGCGGAAGTGTACCAACATCACCTAGATTACATAAGAGATCATCTAACAGTCTAAAATTGCTTTTAATTGCAAGTTAATGCATTCCGACCAAAATTTGTATACCTGTAATTTGGGGGGGGGGGGCGATGTTACATCACATAACTACAACGTTCATATAGAAATATACAATAAGCATGTCCGTATAAAAGCTAAAATTATAAAAACTCATTTCAAAGTCATTCTGTTCATGGAAGCGTCAAGTTATGAAAAACAATGCTAAACACTCAAACAAATCGACTTGATTACCTTTGAAAACTTCTTGAGAGGAAATGGACAAATGTAGAACGTCTGTCTGATTGAAATACTATTTTTTAAATACAAACATAAATGATTTAATCTTGGTCAGAAGTCTGAACATTGTCCAACAAAATAATAAGAATCTAACATTTATAATGATTACAAAAGGATTAATTGCTATAGTCTTTGTCTTAGTCTTTGTTTTTCTAACGGCGGAAGTGTACATGTACCAACATCACCTTGATTACAGAAGAGATCATCTAACAGTCTAAAATTGCTTTTAATTCCCGGGTTTTAATCCGGGGTTTTAATTACATTTTATGTATAGACTTTTTTGCCTCTATTCTCATTTTTAAACCTGTTTCTGTTTGCTGATTTAACAATTGTGATAAATTATTCAGTTAGTGTCGAAATCAAAACAATTTTCTACATTATAGTCCCCTCCTCTTGCACTGACTAAATATTAAAATAAGCCAGTCTGATTGCGAATTTACAAATCCTGTAAAAGTAGCTTCAAACCGCCTTTTAATCAGAGAAAACAATAAGTTAATTCATCTGATTGCGAAAATACGAATCAATCTGATTATCTGATCTCCATGCTATTTGATTCGTGCATTATCTACAAGTCAGTCGGGCAGGGTGAAATTATTTCATTTGAAAACAGAAGTAAATATCAGCTCCCCTCTAGCATAACTATTCGGAAGAAATTCATACAAAAAATAAGGTACACAACTGATAAAGGGTCCCACACAATGCACGCACCCCTCTCCTCCTCCTCCGTGTTTGCCCACACACGACCATATTTGACAATTTTTCTAAAAGCGTTTTCCCCGGGAATATAGGTGTAGCGGTTGCCAGAAGTCGCACAGCTTGGGAGTCAGGGTATCCTGATCCATGCCTCAACGCCTGGCGGGTCTGATATTTAGAGGGGGCGCAAGAATTATTTTAGAGGGCGGGGTAAACGTAAAAGTTGCTAAAATATCCATAGGCGTAGCCAGGAGGGGGGGGGGGGGGGGGTGCGATGGGTGCGATAACAATAGGCTTTATATATGCTTTAATGTTTTATTTATCATGATGCTTTTATGTAGGCTATTAATTACAGTTCTTTTTGCAATATAAAGCTGGTATGTTTATGCAAATTCCGATTGGACTAATATAAAGGGATATTGTTTCATTATGTGGACTTGAGAAAGTCCGACATACTCATTGCTTTCAACCCAAAACTTAAAATAGGAAGTTATCAAGATCCCAAAAACACGATCGCTACTTAAACAATACGTTTGTAAAATCCCGGCGATCGAAATGCAATCAAACTTTCGCAATCAGGTGCCTAATTAGTCTTTTGATCTCTAAAGTTTTACGACTGAACGTTTCAATGAACTCGTGAGAAGCAAACGCAATCATCATTTTCTAGTAAATCTAAAATAAAGTAAAACCCAGGGAAAAATATCGCGTGTTCATAGGAATTAGGCATATTTCAATTTTGAAATAACAAAAGTCAGTCTCGGAATAATTTTCCAAGCATTCCCTGCTTCGATGCGTTTTTATTGCAAGGGCCGTTTAGCGCCGATATGAATTCATTATAGGGCATTAGGGTTGTGCTTTATTTGTTTTATTTATATAAATGTTATAAAATGTGTACAACACTTTAATGAATTATTTTTAGGGTTACAATGCATATTTGACTTTTCCCTCTAAACGTTTAAAATTCATCTTTATACTTTTCTTAGTTTGCTTCAATAAAATTAACATTGGATCCCAGACAGTTATCAAATTCTCAGACATTTGATTAATATAGATATTTGTACTTCCTTTGACCAGTGGTGCTGGTGTGACTGAGATTCGAATCTAATCTGTTTCATTTTTATGTAAATTGAGAGGAATAAAGTTTTATTTTAAGCGTTTTAACAATCTTAACGTTTGGCGTGCAGCTCAACTTAATACACAATCAAAGGACAGAATACAGAAATAAGAACATGCCTTTTATTTGTTATTCAAGCTTGTGGAAGGATAAAGACAAAGGGGTCGCTGCTATCGCGATGAGGCCATCTTATTTCTAGGAATTATTTCTGCCTCTCATTCCTTAAACCGGCTTCGTTAAACAGTGCCAAAATATATAAGTCGGAGCCAAAAACAAGACTATTTTTATATTTAAATCCCCTCACCTTGTCAATGTCTATGCCTGCATCTGGTTTTCCCACCTTTGGGAGGGAGCCAATATACACATAGATTACTTACTGGCCATGGACAGGGGGGGGGGCACAGAAGCGAACATTCTGGGGTCATAAGGGATACTTGGGGAAGGGGGATGGGTGGTGGTGAATAGTGAAGTCCGGGAGTGAAGTTAAGAAGTTAAGGGGTACTGAAATCTTTCTTCCTATTTAGTGCTTGAATGGAGACTTGTTTCCACCTCCCGCATTCTAGTAGAATTTAAATATTTGATCCAAAGGAGTTATTTTAAATCAAACTTGCATTCCGATTAATTAACACTCCAATGATTGTACCGCTTCACTATTGTCTAAGATAATTATAATGAATTCACGGGACACTATAGTCTTCCTTTTAAACTTTAGTGGTTGGATGGAGACTTGTTTCCCCACCCCGTACACTAGTAAATTTGTAAATTTTAAATATTTGATTTAGGGAGGTATTTGCAATCCAACTCTGATGATGCAAGACTAGTCAGCCAAGACTAAATAAAATTATGAACTTATTATCATTTAGACTATTGAGTTCATTAATTATAATTCCATAGATATCATATTTAATCCTGTCAACACAATAATGGTATTAATTGGCATGATATGTAGTCAGAGACGGTTTAAAAAGTTGTTTAGATTAATGATAGTATTAGGAAAAATCCTTACTCAAAGTTTTTGTTCTCTCGCAATCCAGAGCAAACCACTCGCCGGGCAAGCATTCTTTAAAAACGTGAAGTTTTCACCATGTTGAGCAGTTTTGAAAATTGTCCAATTTGAACCATCGCCTTGTATATTTCTGTAACTGCCCCCCCCCCTTGACACTCGAGTGTAAGAATCCTTTCCACACTGTCAATGGTTTTACAAAATAGTTCATGTCAGGAAGGGGGAGGGGTGAGTGTGGAGAACAATCACTGACTGCGATTTGTATGATTGAACATTATACACTTATCATAAATTCGTAAAGAATAGTTTTAAAATAAACAGATTGTTTTATGTTATGATTGGAGTGATGTATGCATAGAAGAATGACACTGGTTTTGAAATATCTTAATTATCCCATTGAATGAAGCCATCAGTCCCTCTGTCCATTCTTAACTCATACTAGTGGACTGATTTGATTTAAAGGAGAAGTCTCGGTGTAGAACGTGTACACACTAATGGGAACGAATTATACTCATTTCTATTTAGGATTCGTTCATATACTAGCGGGGCTTTAGAGCATTTACAAACGCACGAATCGTATTGTTTTAAGGCAACTTTTATGACATATAATGTATTTAAAGCTGATTAATTTTAGATTATATTCGGTTCAATTTTACAAATAATGAATAGTATTACAGTATATCGAAAACTATACAATGATTTACATTAACTTGCGCAGACTGCAAACAATGTACATGGTTGGCGAATTTGCATGCGCGTTCTTGATAATAAGAATTAAAGGTTGAACTTAAAAATCAAACATTTTCTTTTTTAAACATAATAAATCTTTAAATCAAGAAAATAAAAATAAGATTGATGATTGAACTTTTCATAGTCAACTGCGACTGTGTCGACGTATGTTTATTTACTTAGCTAATTAGATATGTAAAATTGTTAATGGCCGCAACGGATAATACGTAAGCTGCTGTTCGGATAAGACATTTCTATATGATTAATAACAAATCCTGGGCAGAATGTTATTCAACAGTACATGATCTTATCAGTTATTATTCAATTTGGATAATAAATCTATTATCTCGTCGTATTGATGTTTATTATATAGTGTTTCTCGTTGTGTCTTGGTAAGGCTGATTGATATCAGAACGAGGACTGTGCCAGCTCGTTCTCCACAGGTGTCATAGACATAGGACCGGGAACAAGTATAAAAATCTAGTCAAATACACCAAGTAGTCGATTTTCTATTACCATGATTTCGAAACCATGGTGGTTTGAAACCCCAGTTTTAAATATTGTCTAGATACATTTAGATATCCCCTAATATTCAAGTTGATGTTGATGTTTGCCTTTTGAAAATTCTCTATTCTTTAACATGGGAAATCCATAACATGTAGCCTAAGTCTTATTTATGGTCCAAACTGGACTGTATGTTCTTGGTTGAAAACAGAATGATTGGAAGTTACCATCACTTTACCATCATCCTAATATGTACACAGTGGAACGCAGTGACCTACCTTGTACATGGCTTTATGCGCTACGTGAAATAGAATTGATCACAGGCCCAGGAAGATTTAACCCCCCCCCCCGTCACTGTATCGCAAGTAATACATAGTAAGTGGGAGGGGGTGGACTTTTGTTCCCGTGTCTGTGGAATTGATCTAATTTTATCGAAAATGTTTCTCTTGTGGTGGGCGATAATAGAGTTAGCACAATACTGTATGGCCTAGATATAATAAAATCCTTCATTTTAGACCCAAAGTACTGCATGATTCAATACCTTAGAAACTAATTCAAATGAATGAATTCTACTTACCAATTATATCATATTAATAATCGAATAGTGACTTCCAAACATCAAACTGTTCAACTTATTCAGACTATTTTGTAAACTTACGAAACGTAATGCATCATATTTACGAACGTGTAGAAACTAATTTGTTCTAAATAATTTCATAGTCGTGACATGCAATCATGAACCAATCATTGACAAATACAAAAAGTATGGAGTAATAACACGAAGTTTTCACCACTTGGTTATCTATAAAGATACATTTTATGTTTTGATCAAAGGGAACAATGGGCAACATTCTGAAAACAAGAGTGGGCAACTAGGGATTTTCGCAAAGGATTGAACTCGGGTCGTGAAAGTGATGGGATAAACCAGGTATTCATTTTTGGGCTAGTGAACCACCACTGGCACATCGGGGGAAAAGCAGTCCCAAGCATTTTTTGGGCCCAACCATTTTAGGGCCCGGCTTTAGTGACCCTTGATCTTTGAGCATTTCCGTGCCTTTTTGGGCCTTATTTTTCAACAAAAATCGGCCTTGAATTTTCAAAATTCGGACCCAATTGTTGGGTTTAGGGACCAAATTTTTCATACTTGAAATATGTCTCCCCCCTTTTATACAATTGCAACATGTGGTGGAAAGGTTTATGGTCCGTGTAATTGTAATTTTTCTTTTATTGACAATTGTATCAAAACATGACACATTAGTCTATGTACAAACTAGGCTGTCTTGACACAAGACAATACTACACTATTAACTAAATGCTAGACTACATTTATATCTACCTTTCTACAAAATGGCACATGTAATCGACCTTCTACTAACTGAAAGGCCATTCTTCTTGATCTAACCGGGTACGTAGCAGTCTATTATTAGCAGAATGAACTTGACAAGTAGTATAGGGAAAAACGTGTGGGTGTAAGCATAAATCAATAACTCATTCAAAGTTAATATCAGATTTCTACATAACAATAACTTTATAAATGGTTATTCTCCTAAATATACATGTAATTTAACTTAAATTAATCCTAGTTACCGATTCTATCATATACAAAATCCCATATTAATACAATACACAATATACCCTTTCTTTGGTAATTTGATATTTAATTGTGTAGTATTCCGTGGTTGTATGGGTTTTATTCAATCGATGTTATTCGAGTTAAGTACGTTTATATATGACCAGGATTACTATAGTTTATTTGTATAACTTTTCACGGATTTCAATGTAATTCACTAAAGAGATTAATTGGACAGGTTATTTAATCCATAGCGAAATATTCTCACTTACAAGAGCCGATGAATAGGACATCGAAACCGGTCTAAATTACATTTTTTCGGGGAGTGTAGCTGAGAACATTTTCGTTACGGTTTTCACTGTACTCACAAGAACAAAAAGCTCAATTATTATGCATTTGTTGTTTGGGTGTAGTCGGTGAGGCAATGTTTTTTTTATGAAAGAGGCAAACTTTGTCAATGAGGCAAAAATGTCAGTGAGGCAAATATCATCGGCGAGGCAAATGATTAAATTGTACAGGGTATAAAATAACACATTTTGAGGCAAATTAAAAAAGCGACTAGTCAATTTTTCTAAAAAGCGACGAGGCAAAAACTCAGGGGGGGGGGGGGTGCGCCAAAACCCGTAGAGACACCTTGCTACGGCCATGGCTTTTCTCATCATATATCCAATGTGGGTGTCAGAATCTTCAATGAAAACCTGATAACTGCCACTGGCGGATCCAGAAGCTAACAAGGGGGGGGGGGGGCAATTTTCAAATCAGAAAAAAATAACATTTAAGGCCCATTACTTGATAAATTGGCTTAAAAAGGCTTAGTGATACCCAAAAAGGCCAATAGCCCTACAAAATTTTTAAGGCCCAAATTTCTTAATCTTGGGGGGTGGCCGCCCCCCCCCCTGGATCAGTCAATTACTACAGCAACACAATCGGAAAGACTGTCTAGGATAAAAATACCAGCAAAATCAATACACTATGAGTTGTAGAGTATCCCTGCTTTAATTCAATAGTAACCACGAAAATTATGTCCCTAGAATTCCCCCCGGACGTAAATGTATACTCTTACCCTCATTTACAAAGCTAGTCTACAACTACTATAGCACTGGCGGATCCAAGGATTCTGCCCCCCCCCCTTGCCCGGGTGGGCTCAGAAAAAAAATTGGGCCCAGAAATTTTTTTGGGCTCAGCGATTTTCAAGTGGGCCTTTTTGGTGGCCAAAATGTCAAGCGATTTGCCAAATTTGAAGTCCCCCCCCTGTTAGCTTCTGGATCCGCCAGCTCGCCAGTGTATAGGTTCAGGTATTCAGAGAGAAAATAAATATAAATGTCTCTATAACTCACGTATTTTTAAAAAATATTCTCCAGCTCAAAATCTAATTGTTGGCTTAAGCTAAATCCGCCTTTTGTCTCATATTCCCAATTGTTTTTTATACAACGAAATTTCTATATCATTCCTTTCACTATATTTGCTATTTAGATGAAAATCGCTCACCTTGACGTACCCAGCTAAGGTGATAGCCCATGCCCCGTCAGTGTGAGAAACTTATATGAATAATATTATGAATAGAACATTTGACACTGGCCTCGCACGTGTATTGATATTTATACAGGATTCATATATTATGGCAACGGTCGCTACCCGAGGCCCAGGGAGTACAGGGATACCTTATAAAATGTCACAAGGTTACCTAGTTACGGAATTGTATATATTTGATATCCAATGCTTTATTGTACTAAAAATCCCCTTCGGGTAAGTGTACAGCAAATAATGATTTAAAATAAAAACTAAAACTGTACATACAATGCAAATTTTACATGGCATACGATAACAATATAATGCGATTGACTGATCATTAGATATATACCAACCACTACTATTAGCCTACATGTATATATTTATATTGTTAATATAGTTGATCTCTTTTCAATTATTTCATAAAAGTATTTTTTTGCAAAGGTGATACACATGTTACCCTCAGCATTAAACATATAATAAGCCATTTCTTCGGGATTCAATACAGTTAGATTTGGGCAAATTGATTGAGTTTAACGTATCAAAGTATTCATATCTCATTTTTCCAATTTTTGGCATTCAAAAATAACATGAGTTTCCGTACCAGTGTTGATTTTACATAATTTGCATTTTCTTTGATCTCTCGGAATTATTGGTCTTGTATATCTTCCTCGCTCTATTTCTAAATTGTGTGCACTTATTCTTACAATCTTGTTAATCGCGTCATAGATTTCCTATATTCAGCGTTCTTTATTAAATCCAAATATGGTTCTTTTCCCCATCGTTGTACTATGATATTATTCAAAAATTCCCTTTATTATCATTGACAGTTTTCTCCCAATATTTTATATATCTCTTTTCAAGGATTTTCTTAATATCAAGCGGTTTGCTGTTCATGTAATTTGTATCTTGTGGTTGAACATATGCCATTATTCTATCAATGTCATAGTACCATGATGGTTGATTATGAACTTTTGATAGTTCAATGCTATCTGCATATGCATTGATTAGTAATGAACTCGTTCCTTCATTTTCTATATGATCTAAATGATCTAAGTATTTAATTTGTTGGTAAAATATATTGATAAATAGAGGGAATCTACCTAATTCACCCATCGTAGCTAAATTACTCGTTTTTCTATGCACCCCTAATAAAAATTTCAGAAAAGATCGATGTAGTAATTCCGGTGGAAGTGACTTGTCATATTTCATTTCAAGGCCAAATTCTTTATATGTACAACTATACTGATTCAGTATACACGCGTGCACGTGGATAGAGGTCAATGATCTGATGTAGTTGTGTTCGGAATTTTGCTGTCATTCCTCATTAATTGAGTCACATGTTATTTTTCAAACAGGAATTACTCCTTCCCCACATTGTCTACATCTTCCAGTTGTACACAAAGAGTGCACTTATGTGCCTAGAAAAGTGAGAGATGTAGACATCGTGGGGAAGGAGTGATTCAAACATGTGACCCTATTTAGGGTTGCAGCAAAATTCTGAACATGCACCCTGGCCTTAAGAACATTTCGAATGTTTTGACGGCCTTATTTGTAATAATTAATAACCATATATACCCTTTGTATTCATTCAACTTCACTTCTTAAAGAGACTCTATTGAGACTTCTCTGTGGCATTTTTTCTTTATTCCTTTTTGTTTTGAATTTTTAACACCATAACATTAACTAACTACTCAATATGCAACTTTTCACCATGTAGAATTTTAAAATATTAAGTTTGAAAATTCCATTTTTATAATGGAGCTCAATGGGAAAAACTACATAATTTGAATTATTTTCAAACGTAGCGGCGCGATTTTGATAAAATTGACAGATATAATAAATATTGGTAAGACGAAATGTTTGATGAATCTTATAAACAGTTATATTCACTGAGACAAGTGGGTCAATACTTCATGTACTTTATGTGCTCTCACACAATTACCTTCCCTTGCATAAAGTTGCTGTACAGTTATATGTAACTGAATATTGTATATTCATCACAAACAACGTAGCAAAATGATGGTTCGAAATAATGGACGGTTCGCTAAAACCAATAAACCAGGCAATCCAGGCCAATTTGGAAAGAAACTAGATAACGTGATAGCGAATGAAGATAGTAAGTAAAATATATTTTGCAAAGGTCAGCTTGTAAACTACTGGGTAACCCTAAATGATGAGAAATATGTACAAAATATGTTTTGCATGATTTATTCATATCCCAATGATTTAACTCCTTCACTGCATCTAATAAGGTATATACTTAGGTGGTTCAAAAAGTTTTGCAGTTGATGCCATAACTTAAAGGAAAATAGGACTTTTACAATGAAACTTGGTACACATATCTGTTATACATTTATACATTATATGTTAAAAGGAAGAGGTGCGATTATTGGCAAATACCCCTATGGTCAAAATGAATAATTGTTGGGTGTAACATGAAGAATAGAATGTCATATAACTCTTTGGAAAATATTAAAATGCTCGGGCACACATAGGCTGAGATAGGGGCCATTTAGTTTAGTAAGGTTGTATTGCCTTACATGGGGCTGTGCTTCATTGACTTAACATGAGGATATCAGCAG